CAGGTTTGTGTCATTTATACACTAAATTATATTCACAATAAAAGTCCCGTCAGTTTATAGATTGTCTATATTACCTGGCACGTTTTAAAAATTAAACTAGACAACCCTAAATGCAGTGAAGTGTGTTCATCCTGAAATATCTTTACACACAGTAAAGTTACCAGTAATCAATTGATTAATATTAGATCAGAGGTTAGTTTGGGAAACGTAGCCGTTTGCTTTTAACAATCTTTAATCACTTGTTATGTTTTACATTCTTCAGCTGACAACGTGTTCATACAGTTCATACTTCCCTTTTCCTTTATTTATTCTTTTCTTCAATTTATTGCACTGAAGACATATTCCTATCGATCTTCTTCATCATGGCTTCCTCACCTGTGTACGCTTCTGAAAAGGGTTTTTAAATACATTTGACTTTTTCTACATTTTCTCAGATATTAGGAGACACTCACTGACACGTGCATCTTACGCTGCAGTCCACAGTCACAATATATAAATCTAGTAATGCTCTTTACCTGCTTGTGTCTTACTGGGTCACCAGGAGCTGGTGCCAGTAATCAGCAGTCATTGTGCGAGAAGCAGGGGACACCCTGGACAGGTCTCCAGTCCATCACAGGGACACATAGAGACAAACAACCATTTACACTCTCACTCGCACCTAGGGACAATTTATCGATTAGTTGCCAATGAACGTGTCTGTTTTGTGAGAAAATAACCATCATGCATGCACAGGGAGAACATGTGAAATCCATACAGACAGGCTGGGAGCTGAACCTGCGACCTTCTTGCTCTGAGGCGACAGCTGGAACCACCACTGTTCCACCCCATCCCATCATACACTCGTGTTTCTTAAGGCCCAACAATCCTTCAGTGGATGCCAGAGTTTTAAACTGAGCTTGTTTGACGGGATTGGACGGCGTTGCAGATGTTTCGTTCAAACTTTCTTTCAGCATGTGTTAGTTGAGGGTGACTCTCAGCTACTACCACATGAAGATTTAGCTCGTTTTCTGTCGTTTGGACCGAGTTAAAGCTGTTTTTTGTGTTGGCTAAGGTTGATCAGTGGTGACAAGTACTCTGAGAATTTAGTTTAAATCCAGTCATATGGTTATGGGAATTTTTGCTAACGGACACAAACAGACATAATCATGATCCCTCTTTGGTGTTTGGTGTCTAACGATAATTAAAATATGAGTTTTGAGCTGCTCTCTGTACGTTTGGTGCAACATTCACGGTGATTCTTCAACTTATATTTTCTTAGTAAATTATTTAATAAATCATCTGGGCTAAAAGATGTTAAATTAAATTTATTACAGCTGATAAAGCCAGAGAAGCAACCGTGTTTGCGTTATTTTCTTGACTGATCATTTGCAAAGAAACCCAGGTTTCATGTAGATTAGCTCAATTTTAGAGCTCCAGCTTTATGATTTATCCGTTTTTAGCTTTAACTGAGAATAGTTGAGTCAGATTTGGATTATATTTACTATAAATAGCGATAAAGGCTGATAATAGCCAATTTAACGACCTTCGGCTCTCCTGGTAATTGATTGTCAGGTTGAGGTAGAGCATCGGATGGTGCCTCAGCAGCAGGACTCTGTTATTCTTTCTTCCTTAGAGCCGCAGATCTCAGCCCCGTTGTGTGGAAGATTTATGACCCTGCTCTTAAATCAATGGGGGCTCTCTGTGAGGGGCTGTACCGTTTAACACAACAGTTTTTAATTCATCAAGATTGTCTTCCTTTTAGTTCTCATAAAGGAACACTATTTAGCTCAAAATAATGGTCCCAGCCATTGTGAGGGAAAAAAATTAGATTTAACCAGCTGACTTTCTCTGTGGAGAAATAAGTAGCTGCTATGATTGACTCTTCTCTGGTGAAGAAATGGCAGCCTTGGCAGCATTTTTGTCTCCCCACCAGTCCCATGAAGATAAATTCCTGCACATTTATTGCACTTGGCAATTAAAGGGACTGTTTTTAGACCAGTTGTGATTTAAATGGTTTTCTTTATCGGTTACAGAGAAGCAGAAAGCTTGCAGAAAGAAATGGGAGCAATACTGGAAGCTATGCTAAAGACACGCTGGGCGCGATGGAAGAAGGAATCGATAGTGCATTGTTGTTTTACTGTAGGCAGTAGACCTCGAACGCATCATAAGACACTGACTCGCTGGTAAATACCATTCAGGTTTTTGCACTGCTTGTGGGTAAATAGCAAAACATATAGGAATGATAAAAAGAATTGTTTTTTATGCATGCCTTAATATTTTAAGTATTAATAGGAGTCACTTGCCAGGGGGCAGAAAAATAATCCACTACATAATTACAAGGTTGCAACTCAGTTCAAAGGGAAAAACACAAGAAAGGTAAAGTTTAAAATTTTTTTTTTTTTTCTTTTATTATTTAAATCTGGAAAAAAAAATGTAATTGAATTTATTTTTCATTAGAAATTTTTGGTTAACGAAGTACATAAATTTAAATAATGATGTTCGTCGCCTGCTGTGGGAGGTGGAGCGATGATGTGTTTGTGTCATTCTTACAAATAATCGTATAAATATCTGCATGGACTCTAATAAATATCTCATAACGGCGTCACTAGATGTTCACCTACAGTTCAGTTGCTCTTGTAGTCACCCCTTTTCAAGATGGTTACCACAGCTAGCAAGTTTAGCAAAAAAAAAAAAAAAACTGCTTTAACTCAGTCAGTTCTTCAGACACCGAGCTAAAATTAGCATAGCATTAGCTGAAGCTGTTCCCCAACACAGACTCTGAGCCAAACACACAGGTCAGTGTGTTTGCATCAAACTTGGCCTAAATGGTTTAGGGTCAAACCTGTCTGTCTGTTAGCAAAATATCTCAAACAATGGAGCAGTGTTGATCTAAACTTTCAACTTAATAACTTTTGGAGTCAACGCGGTTCATGATGCTCTGAGTCGCGCTAAGCAACACAATAAGAGCTTTAACTGTCTGAATGCTTATTAACCTTTTACCTCCTTCAAATCTTTAGATCTGTTTACAACCTTTTACTGCGCCTTTCACATTTTGTTCTGCTTCAGCTTCCTGCTGCAACTTTCCTTTAGCTAATTTCAGCTCTTTTTTCAGCTGTTTTGTGCTCCTTTCAGTTGATTTCTGCAAGTTTAAGCTTTATCTGCAATTTCAGCTACTTTTTAGCTGTGTTAATGCTAATTGAAGCTTTTTCATCTAATTCCACATTTTTTGCACTCATTTCAACTTTTTCCAGCCCAATTCTGCACAAGTGTACTCTCCCCACAACCTTCTGGTAATTCCAGCTTCTTTCTGCTTTTTTAGCTACTTTTCAGCTGGGTTTATTTTTTGTTTGTTGCTAATTTCATATTTTTTCCAAGTAATTTCCACTTTTTTGTGCTCATTTCTGCTTCTTTCAGCCTAATGAGACAAACTTGTGTTCTTTCTGTTTTCTTATGCTAATTTTAGCTTGTTAGACCCTTTCAGCTACATTTGTAGCTAATTTTAGCTGTTTTCAGGAAAAAAAAAATCTAGTTTTTCATTGTAATTTCTGCTACTTGCATCTTAACTAACTGTTTCTGCTAGTATCAACTTTTTCTACTATTTCAGCTACTAGCTGCTTTGAGCTAATTTTAGCCTTTTCAGCTAATTCTACTTTTTAAGCTCATTTCAGCTCCTTCCACTTCCTTCTGGTAGTTTAAGCTTCTTTCTGCTTTTTCAGCTGCTTTTCAAGTTTTTTTTGGTTGCTAATTTTAGCCAATTTTCTAATTTTGTGCTTATTTAAACCAAATTCAGCAAACACGTTTTATTTCTGCATTCTTCTGCTAACTTGGGCTTGTTCTTTCATTTCAGCATGTTTTTAGCTAATTTCAGCTGTTTTTCAGCAAGTTCTTCAGCAGTAAGCATTCACGCTTCATTTTTTACATGACATGTAATTTGTACAGTTACAGTAATTTTACACATATCTAACATTTTCTTGGGGTTTAGCTGAGAGTCATTCTCAACGTGTAGTTTAGGCTCCAGCAGGTCATACTAGCTCTCACGATATTATCGATATTAAAAATGACCAAAACAGCTACAACTCCTCCATCATGTCCCCGTGTCAGATGAGCTCACTAACTAAACATTGCTTTAATTTCACAGGAATGTCAAACGGTTTCCTCGGCTCGGCTCAAGATGAGCTGAAAGATGGTTTTCTGCACTTCGGAGTTTCTTAAGCTGTTGAGCTTCTTTTTTTTTATTTATTTATTCATAACTGAGTGTGTTGGCACGTGAGCAGCAGAGTAGCTGGATAGAAATTGGGAGGTGAGGAGGGTGAGGAGAGGGAGGTTTGTGGTGGTGGGCTGAAGAGGAGGTGGGGTGGGGGGTGCAGTATGGCCGCTAGCCTCTTTCTTGTTGATCCTCAGGAGACCATCTGCGCTGGGGGCATTGATTAGTGTGTGTCTGGTGGGATTACATCTTTGCTGTTGCCATGCCAACTAATCAGCTGATCCCCCCCCCCCCCATCTCTGTCTGTCTCTCCATTTCTCTCTCTCTCCCGTCTCTTTGCCTGGTTGTCACAGCAACAAAATACGGGAGAAGCGTAAGAGCCCCGGCAAACGCTGGATTCAGCTAAAGGGGAGGAAAAAAAGACTTTTTGTTTTTTTCTTCTCTGTTTCCCCCACTCTGCCTCTCTCCATCTCCTCCTAATTGGCAGCTCTCTCTGACCTGAAGTTCTTTTGTCTCTGGCGTAAACACACCCCTCTCCACATTACATTTATTTTCGCTTTTTAGAGGCCCAAGGACAGAGTAAATATTGGGAGCATAATAGCTCGCTTCATGCTACAAAGTCCTTGAACAAATTTCACAAATGAGACGAAACACTTGCAGCATTTGTATCAAGAATTATGTCCGAGCAATAAACTCTGATTTATTCATCTGTTGTCTTCTGTGTTTAAGTCAGCTGGCAGCTCTGTGCCGGCTGATTAGGTGTGTCTGAGAAACAAATCAGGTGAAATGTTAAACTGAATGTTTCATCTCCGTCCAGGTTTGTACAGAGGGACGTTTGATACTGGAGTTTGCCTTCGACGATCTGATGAGGATCAAGACGTGGCACTTCACCATCCGGCAGTACAGGGAGCTCATCCCTCGCAGCATCCTCGCCATGCACGTGAGTGGGACATCACTGACACAAAGTCCACACCTTCATGAGCGACCCGTGCTTCCTGCTGAGACCCATCCACGCTCATTTTCAGAAACGACCAATAAAATTATCTTTTTAGTCTAAGACCTGTCTTAGTTCTCGTGAGAACCTTTTTGGACTTATTTGGACCAACAGGACTCCCTGTGGACACTGACCTGATTGTTTGGGGTCTTGTAGTTTAAAGTCCCATAAAGTAGAAGTTCCACTTCATGGTCAGTCCACAAAAAGAGTTTTTACTTTTGTCTTTTTCATCCTTGTTTTTTTATTTTTTTTTATTGACAGTTTGAACCAGATTATATATTTAATCTCAACAGTCTACGGTTTCTGTGCAACATGCAGACGTTACGTGCACGCTCCACGCCTCGTTACCTGCTCTGGCTGTGTTTCTGTGGCGGTGTTACAGCTCCACATACTGACCCGCATAGTCACATCTATCCATTGTCTTTACCCGCTTCTTCCTTTTCGGGTCGCGGGGGTCACTGGTGCCCATATCCAGTTATCACTATGCAAGAGGCGGGGGCCACCCTGGACAGGTCTCCAGTCCATCACAGGGACACATAGAGACAAACAACCATTCACTCTCTCACCTAGGGACAATTTAGAGTTACCAATCAGTCTAACATGCATGTTTTTGGTCTGTGGGAGGAAACTGGAGTACCTGACCAACAGCTCTCCTTGTGTGAATAGAGCACACTCTGCGCTTCTCTCATGCATCCTAACCCCCACCCCGGTCGACAACTGATGGCACTAACATAACAGTGTGCTAGCAGCATGCAATTCAGACACTCTAGCTAAGATGCTACAGACATAGCACTCCACTTCTCTCACACATCCTAACCCTCCCTACCCCCGTCAACAACTTTTGGCACTAGTGTAGCGCTAAACTAGCATACAACACAGAGGCGTCTTCCCCGCCTCCCCCCGTGAGCACCTTGCCAAACCAAGTGACCTCGAGGAAACACTGCATGCAGTGTGGAGTTGTTGTAGGTAACCATGAAAACCCGGAGTGGACTTTTAGTAGCTTAAGTATTTTTCTATTAATCAAGTGGAATGGATTCATTCACAAAGAAATATAAACAGCGCTGGGTGAACTAATATTTCATGGTAAGTGTGTGTGTGTGGGTGGGGGGACATTTTTTAAATGTGGGAGGGACACATCCCCTTCATATAAAATTAATGTGACACCTATGGTTGCAATGGTTGCAAAACACCTTTCACACGTGCACAAACTTCTGTAAATGACACAATGGCCTGTTTACATGTCAGTCTCTCACAAATAATCATCAAGGTCACTTTATTCTGGCAGAAACCTTCCAAGGTAACGTTAATGAAACTCTTAACACGACACAGTCAGATTAGAATGTGCTTCGATTAATGTAAAGCAGCATTTTTAAGTTTATTCACAAAAATAATTCAAAGGTCATCGTATTCATTTTCTCAAGTATCATCTCGTGTGCTTCAGATGATAACAGAATTAGTTTAATTAAATCTGAACCGCTCTGTTATCATTATAGATGGAAAAAATATGTTTAAAAAGGAAATTTAGTGGTAATTAAACTCCATCTTTATGTTGTGTTTGAAACACTTATTGTGTTGGATATATTTATTTTATCAAATAAAAAGATCAAGTATTTCATTTATGCACGTGTGCACAGACAGCATCGTTTTCTATGCACCATGTTGAGAAAAAATCATGATTCACGGTTCAAATTGTTCATCAAATGATTCAAACTGTACTGGACATTTCACTGACATACATTTTAGATTAAAATCTTAAATGCTGAACTGGAATTTTTTTGTTTTTAAAATCAAATTTATTGTATTTATTTGAAACATATAAATTAATTGTCTTTGATTCAGTGTGAATGCTGAAGAAGCTGAAACGTTCAAAACAAAACTTAAAATAGCAAGAGACTAGCTAAAAGTAGCAAAATATTAGCTATAATGTAAAAGTAGCTAAAGGTCAAAAGTAACAAAATGAGCCCTTAAAGTAGAAATATAATAGCTAAAAACTAAATGTAGCACAAGGCTAGCTATAAGCTGAGTGACAAAATGCCAGCTAAAATTTAAATGTATCAAAAAGCTAGCTGAAAGGTAAAAGTAGCAATATGCTAGCTGAAATTAGCAAAAGCCTAGCTAAAAGATGGGTTGGGAGAAATGTTGAAATGTGAATCGCTAAAAAGCAACAAAAGTTTGCAGAAGCAGTTAGATCTTCTGGAAGTGAAGAAAAACTGTTTATTAGATCTACATGTGTTTAAGGTTTAATAACATTTTAGTCTTTAAACGAGTGCTGTTATGTTTTTAAGCTCAAAATGTTACAACATGAAAACACACTTTGTTAAATCTGTTTTCTGCAGAAGCAACATTATTTTCAGCTTTGGATCCGATAAAAACACTTTTTTTTAATAGAGAGGATGTGAGGGTTGAACTGTTTTTTTTCCGATCGTAGCTGAAATATAAAACAAAAAGCAAACGCAGCAGCACGTTAGCAATTTATGAAAACTCGTTTTAATATCTGCATTCAGAAAGTCTGACATACTTGGAGTCTGCATTATCATTACTTTTATTTCATATTTTAAATGTGTATTTAGAGTCATTCTAATGATTTCAGTCGGTTTCACACGTTCTTACATGCCGTACAGCTGAATTAGCTTTTCAACTACAGTCAGATTCTTTTCTTTACAACCTTCTAGTCCTGGTTCTGAAAGTGTAAAAGGCAGTCTTGCATTTTGGCCACACCATCATATGAATTTCACTCAGCGATAAATTGGCCCCTCTGGGTATTCACGTTAATTCCTGGAGAGTGGGAGATTGTGTGGTATTGTGGGTCCTGGCCAGATCTCCAGTGATTTGTGTCTGAGTGTAAGTTCAGCCTTTTGATCGTTGCCCGGGCTAATGAAAGCAGATCCAGACACATGGGAGGCAGACGAGGGACGATGGAGCTGCAGATTCTGCTTTGTTATGGCCAACGTTCTGATCTGAGCAGCACTTTATTATTATTTTTTTTATTCTATAAAGTAGGCCTGGTGAGTATCTTTAAAAGATAAGTTGATTTTTGTAACCTTAAAGCTTAAAATGCAAAGATTTCATCACAACTGTATTTTTTCAAGCTTGGTTCTTTATTACTAAACATCTGAGCTGACTCCTGCAGTTCCTGAAGCTGCCACTAGATGCTGACCTCAGGAAGTCCACATCACAAAACTCGGGTTCATTTTCTGTTTTCAACATTTTCTTCTCATATAATTTATCCAATACTTCAGCTAATCCATTTAAAGTTATGTTTTCTTAGAGTTAAAGTAATAAAAAAGTATGTGATTAAAGTTTTAAATGAAAGTTTTATTTTATTTTGTTTCAACCTCACCGATCCTTGAATTAAATATATTTTTGTCGTCATTCTGCTAAATCAGACAGTTTTCACATCCTGTTCAAAATAAGTTTTATTAAACTGTTGTGTTTACTAACAAAACAAATATTTAGCTTTTTTAAAAATGTATATACATTAATGCTGGTCTTAAAAAAAACAAAATTGTAAAATTATTATTATTTTTTCTCCTGCAATATGAAATGTGTCCAGAACTGATTGCAGGTAGTTTTAAAATAATGTGCAAGCAGGCACATGCATTACACAGTATAATGTACAGTAAACAGTATTTGTTGTATATATATGTATAATCTACAAAAATATGACGCATGGAGGAACATCTTGGACTGAAACGGTGCATTTAAAAAATGTTCTGCAAATTTAATTGTTACATTGTGAGTACGAACAACTTTATTAATGTTAACGTTGACAAAAATGATCCATCCATCCATCAGCTTTGTCCATTTCTTCCATTTCGGGTCATGGGAGTCACAGGTGCCCATGTCCAGTTATCACTGAGGCAGGGGACACCCTGGACATGTCTCCAGTCCATCACAGGGACATAGAGACAAACGAGACAGCCATTCACTCTCTCACCTAAGGACAGTTTAGTTACCAGTCAGCCTAACATGCATGTTTTTGTCTGTGGGAGGAAACTGGAGAAAACCCACGCAGCACAGAGAGAACATGCAAACGCCACCCAGAAAGGCCCCCGGCTGGGGTTTGAACCGGGGTAACCTGCTCGATGAGAGGCAGCAGCTCTACCAACTGCGCCACCGTGCTAACAAAAATAATCAAACTAATATAAAATGTTCATTATCAATAAATGGGAATAATTCTGGAGTTTAGATTTTGCAGTCCATGGAAATGAAGTAATTCAGGGCTCCTTTGTATTTGAGGCTAAATTTACTTAAAACTTCAAACTGAACATTGATTGTGTTTCTTCCTGATGTAATTAAATACACTCTCAAAAATACAGCAGTAATACACAAATAAATAATAATTATTAAATACACTAATAACATATATATAAACAAATTATCATGTGTTTTAAGATGGATGGATGATGGATGGATGGATGACGGGCAGGTGGGCGGGCGGACAAACGGTTGGTGGATGGATGGATGGATGGATGGATGATGGATGGACAGACGGACGAATGAACAGATGGATGGTGGACGAAGGAATGGATGGATGGATGGAAGGATGGATGGGTGGGTGGATGGATGGGTGAGTGGTTGGATGGATGGATGGGTGAGTGGTTGGATGGATGGTTGGATGTATGTATGGATGGTTGGATGG